TTGAGTCTATATTTATCTTTGGAGCTGAGATGTGTAATATCACAGAAATACAAAAGATCATAAAGAATAGTATGAAAAAGAATATAACACCAAATTTAATAACCTAGAAGAAATGGAACAGTAATTAGAAAAATGTAATCTTCCTAGACTGAATCAAGCAGAATTGGAAAATCTAAATAGACTGATCAGCAGTATGGAAATTAAAATAATAATTAAAAACCTACCAAAAAGTAAAAGTTCAGGACCAGATAGCTTCACCAGTAAATTCTACCAAACATTCAAAGAAGATTTAATACCTATTCTCCTCAAACTCTTCCAAAAAAAAAAAAAAAAATTGAAGAGGAAGCAATACTTCTTAACACATTTTATAAGGCCAATATTAGTCTGATACCAAAACCTGGCAAAGATAACACAAAAAAAGGAAACTGCAGACCAATATCTCTCATAAACACAGATGCAAAAATCCTAAATAAGATACTAATGAAATGAATACAGAAAGAGATGATAAATATTATACACTATGATCAAGTGGGCTTAATCCCAGTGGCACAGGGATGGTTCAACATATGCACATCAATTAATGTGATACAGCACATAAATTAAAAAATAAGAATCGTATGATCATATCAATAGATGCATTAAAAGCCTTTGACAAGATACAGCATCCATTTATGATCAAAACACTTAAGAAAATCGGTATTGAGGGAAAGTACCTTAACATGATAAAGGCCATGTATGACAAACACTCAGCCAACATTATACTGAATGGTGAAAAACTAAAAACCTTCCCTCTAAGATCAGGAACAAGGCAAGGCTATCCACTATCGCCACTGTTACTCAATATAACATTGGAGGTCCTAGTGAGTGCAATCAGACAAGAGAAAGATATAAAAGGCATCTAAATAGGACACGAAGAAGTCAAACTGTCACTATTTGTGGATGACATGATTCTCTATATAGAAACCCTAAAGATTCCACAAGAACCTACTAGAAACAATAAGGAAATATGGTAAAGTTTCTGCATACAAAATCAGTGTTCAAAAATCCATAGCATTCCTATACTCTAATAATGAAGTGTCAGAAATACTAGCAAAAAAAATAATTTCTTTTTCAATTTCAAGAATAAAATACCTAGGAATAAATCTATTAAAACGTGAAGGACCTATATAAACCTGATGACCCTCTTAAAAGAAATCAAAGAAGATACAAAGAAATGGAAAGATATTCCGTGTTCTTGGATTGGAAGAAAACAACAAATGATCCAGTCAAAAACTGGGCAGAGGACCTGAACAGACACTTCTCCCTAGAGAACATACAAATGACCAACAAATATTTGAAAAGATTCTCAACATCGCTAGCTATTAGGGAAATGCAAATCAAAATCACCATGAGATACCATCTCATACTTGTTAGATTAACTATAGTCAACAAGACAGGTAATAATGAATGTTGGAGAGGATGTGGAGAAAAACGAACCCTCATATACTGCTGGTGGAACTGCAAATTGGTACAGCCACTATGGAAAACAGTATGGAGGATCGTCAGAAAACTAAGAATTAATGTACCATATGATCTAGCAATCCCTTTAATGGATATTTACCCCAGAGACTTGAAAACCCGTATCTGAAAAGATACTTGCACACCGATGTTCATAGCAGCATAATTCACAATGGCCAGGACATGGAAGCAACCGAAGTGTCCTATGATAGATGACTGCCAAAGGAAGCTGTGTTACATACATACAGTGGAATATTACTCAGCCATAAGAAGAGATGAAATACTGCCATTTGCGACAACATAGATGGACCTCTAGATAATCATGCTAAGCAAAATAAGCCAGACAGAAAAAGTTGAAAAACATGATATCACTTATGTGTTGGACATAAACCTAAAAGGAATAAATGAACAAGACAAAGAGAGACTCATGGACAGGGACTATGGACCTCGGTTACCAGAGGGTAGGGCATGGGGAATTAGGGGGTTAGGTAGATGTGTTAAATTGGATCAAATATAGGAGGATAGGGAGCGACTTAAGTGGGTAAAGGGAATCAAATATATGGTAGCTGAAGTAAACTGGACTTTGAGAGGTAAACGCACAATAGAATATACAGATGCCAAATTATAATGTACACCTTAAAATTATGTAATTGTATTAAACAATGTTATGCCAATAAACTTAATTTTTAAAAAGATTAAAAAAACAAATAAAAAATATGTTATCTCTTCTCTTTGGATGTTGAGCTGCCTTGTATGACCTCCCAATTTTATATTTTGTATTTTCATTTTTAAAAAATTTCTTTCATTTATCTTTTAACCTTTCTAATGATTTGTTTTTCATTCCCACTTTTTATTTTCATTTTGTAATATTTTTTGTGTCCTATTTCTTTTATGTTATCCTATTTTTTTGTTATGTGAAATCACTTTTAATATTCCTCCGAGGATATTAATGGTGGCTTCTTAGATTGTTCTTGTTTTCCTATGTAGTTATTCTTCTAAGGTCCTTTGTGCTTTGTTTAATCTCTTTTAAATTACAGGCATTTCTCAAAGATGGGATGATATTTGCCTATCTATATTTTAGAGCAGATATGGGAAACTGATTTAACTTTTGTGTGCTAACTGGTAGACTTTCTTAGGTATGTAGTACCTCCATTTTAAACCTTTCTGGTGTTCTGATGTATAAATCATCTCCTTCTGAGTTTTCCTTATTTTAGGGTTAGGTTTCATCTTTTGGTTTGTTAAGCTAGTCATCATTTATCGTCATGCTTTCCAGCTTCAAAAATTTTTGCCTGTTTCCTCTTTAATTCTCTTTGACTTTGTGGGTTCATTCATTTTTTTTAAAATCCATTTTATTTCTTTTAGTGAGGTTTTAGAAATTGCAGAAATAACTGCATGTGATTCACTTCTGTTTGAGAGAAAGTATATTCTCTTTCTACAGAAATTTTATTTTTAGTTTATTTTTAAGGATAAGTTTCAAAAGTAATTTATTATATTAGCCATTTAGTAAATGTATTTTGATCGTGTTTCATGTGCCATGGTTCAAGCTGAATAAAGAAATAGATGTTATCCTTGCCTTCCCGAAGATTGGTTCTGTTATATTAGACAGACATTAAGAAAAATTAAAAAAAACTCATGAAATTTGCAGCTGTAGGGGACAAATGTGTAATTACCCATTACCAAAACAAAACACAAAGGAGGCAAAAAAGGGAAAAGTGCTTTGAAAAATAATGATGGGATGTGCATAAAGATTGAATATTCAGAAAAGATCTTTATTAGGATATGTCTTTATGCAGAGACCCAAATAATGGCTAGGAACATGCAAGGCCAAGAGTAGGGGCATTGGGGAGGGAAGAAGTATAGAAGAATATTTCAAGTAAGTGAAACCATTGAGGGTTGGTGGTGGTAGTATTACAGTTTAGTGCACTCAAAGAACTAATAAGGTCAGTGTAGCTTTAGCTTATTGTTGAAAGTTGAAAGCTATTAAGTTGAAGAGGGAGGTAGGAGGCAGATCACTGAGCAGTTTTAAGACCAAGTTAAGAATGTGGGTATTATCCTAAGGACAATGGGAAACCACTGAAGCATTTGAGTAGAACAGTGCTAGGCTGAATGTCACTCTGGGTGATGAGGGTGCAAAACTGGAAATGCAAGCAGCTAGATAAAATGGTGTTTCATGTACCAGTAAAAGATAATTTTGGCTTGATTTTCCTATTGACATTAGAGATGGAAAGAACAATTTCAAAACATTTAGGTCTACTTTAAACAAACTTTCTGTATGAATGTTACAGAATGAGAATGGAGCTATGAAGTTTTCACGATTTGGGACTTGAGGCATTTGCTCAGAGTCTTAATTGATATCTTTACAATGTTTCTTTTCTTGGTCTTATATGGCATATAAGTCTTCCAAAAGAATAGGTAACAAACACTGTGCTTTTACTTTCTACAACTACATAAATACATTATGTGTGACTTCTGAATCATTCAATAATTGTCAGAATTGGGGTTCAGAAGACTCGTCTATCTGCATCCTTCTTGTAATCTAATAGCATCACATTACCTTTTTTCTCTTCCCTTCTCTCTGACTTTAAAATTAGATTCTCAATTATTCTGCTGTAGTGTTTGCTGAGTCTCCTCTTTTGTTCTCCCAAGTTTAGCCTCGTAGACTTCCTGGGCAACATGGATTTTATCAAATGCCATGAACAAACCACATTCTAACCACAGAAGAATCTTCTGTCTCCATTGCTCATTCCAGACTCATTCAGAACATTAATCTTTCATCAGCATATTGCTACATTTGGCGTAACTTTCTCTTCTATCTCCTTCAGATTATATGCAATTTATATTTGTTACTTGGCCTAAGAAACACTATCCTAGATTTTCCCTTCCAGGTGTAGTTAATGCTCAAGTCAACCCTAAGAAATGGCTTAAATGGTAATTACCCTCATTTTTAAATGTATATGTTACTAGATTTATTCTTTAAAAAAATTGAGATGGGGCCTGGACATCTTTGTATGTATCAAGTTCCCCACAGCTGTAGAAGATTTTTATCTAAATCACTATTTAGGAATAATTGCCTTAATCTGTTTTCCTGAATAACTCCTTTACAACTTTCAGTGTGACTTCTCATTCTTTTTACTTTCCTTATGTATTTGTCAAGTTATCCAAATATAGTTAAGAACTGTATAAGCCACTCACTTTTTCTGAAAATCAATTTCAGTTAAGTCTTTTCATAATTATTATAAAAGTTTCATATCCCCCAGAACATACACAAAAATGAATGTTTGCTTTTATATTTTCTTTCAGAATGTGAATCAAGGTTGAGACCAAGAAATTATTTCTGGAAAAGGATATTTATGGAATAGAATCACTCTGATGGGAAATAATGGAAAGACTTATAAAAAACAGCATTGAGTGTTCAAGTTTCAGAGGTGATTAGGAATTTAAAAGCCAGTTTGAGAGAAAACAGGAATCTCAGGAAGGACATTTCATGATATTTACTCCTGAAGATATGCCCACTTTCAATACCCAGCATCAGAGAATTCATACTGATGAGAAACTCCTTGAATGTAAGGAATGTGGGAAAGATTTTAGTTTTGTATCAGTCCTTATTCGACATCAGCAAATTCATACTGGTGAGAAACCTTATGAATGTGAAGAATGTGGTAAGGCCTTTGGTAGTGGTGCAAACCTTGCTTACCATCAAAGAATTCATACTGGTGAGAAACCTTATGAGTGTAATGAATGTGGGAAGGCCTTTTGCAGCGGCTCGAACCTTACTCATCATCAGAGAATTCATACAGGTGAGAAACCATATGAATGTAAAGAATGTGGGAAAGCATTTAGTTTTGGATCAGGCCTTATTCGACATCAGATAATTCACAGTGGTGAAAAGCCTTATGAGTGTAAGGAATGTGGAAAGTCCTTTAGTTTTGAATCAGCCCTTACTCGGCATCACAGAATTCACACAGGTGAGAAACCTTATGAATGTAAAGACTGTGGGAAGGCCTTTGGCAGTGGTTCAAATCTTACTCAACATCAGAGGATTCATACTGGTGAGAAACCTTATAAATGTAAAGCATGTGGAATGGCCTTTAGTAGTGGTTCAGCCCTTACTCGGCATCAGAGAATTCATACTGGTGAGAAACCATATATTTGTAATGAATGTGGGAAGGCTTTTAGCTTTGGATCAGCCCTTACTCGACATCTAAGAATTCATACTGGTGAGAAACCTTATGTATGTAAGGAATGTGGGAAGGCTTTCAATAGTGGGTCAGATCTCACTCAGCATCAGAGAATTCACACTGGTGAGAAACCCTATGAGTGTAAGGAATGTGAGAAAGCCTTTAGAAGTGGTTCAAAACTTATTCAGCATCAAAGAATGCACACTGGTGAAAAATCTTATGAATGTAAAGAATGTGGGAAGACCTTTATTAGTGGCTCAGCTCTAAATCAGCACCAGAGAATACACATGGATGAGAAGCCCTATGAGTGTAAGGCATGTGGTAAGGCTTTTGGGAGGGATTCAGAGATTCGAAGACATAAGAAAAGGCATACTGGTAAAGAGCTCTGTGAATTGGAAAGTTTATCAATTGGAATTAAGTGATTAAGGAAAGACACATGACATAAGAAAATCATGCTACTGAGAGTCCCTACAAATGTAATTAAGGTACCAGTGCCTTACTTTTGCTTTACCACTAAGTCAGAGAAAATTAATGTGGGGGGAAAAAAACCAGGAAAATAAAAATCTGAAGATCTTTACATTCATTACTTTGTAAAATTCCCACTTGTGAATATTAAAAATTGAAAAACCTTTTACTGTATTTTTGGCTTAATTTTATAGGGTTGTTTTTTATTTTTTTATTTTTATTTTTTATGCCTACAGCACTCAATCTTCCTAGGGGTCTCCCAGCCAAGTACTGACCAGTCCCGACCCTGCTTAGCTTCTGAGATCAGACGAAATCGGGCTTGTTCAGGGTGGCATGGCTATAGTTGGCTTAATTTTAAACATTGAAAAATTAATTTGGGGGCTAATTCTGCTTTTATTATTTTTAATGTCCTTTTTGTGGATTATACAGAATTATCGACCCATCTCAAAATTGTCTTACATTTTTTACTGAGGCTCTAAAGTTACCCTTATTTCCCTTTCCCACTTCTCATTCTAACAGCATTTGTTCAATCATCATATTTATTTTTGTATTTTTTTATTGCCTCTTTAATGGTAAGTTATATTTTTATACATGTAAGGCTTGGATATAAGGGCAACCTTTGTTTTTTAAAGTTGTGTATGTATTCATATTTGTTTCTCCTTTTTTGCATTGTTACTGTTACTTTAATATCTTGTGGATCTGTACTTTTTGTTTTGGAAGATTGTTTTATTATTCTTTTATAAAGTTTATACTCTTTGCAAAGCAATGTTTGTCTATAAAGTGTAAATATAAACAAAAAAATTAGATACAGTTGCCTGTAATCTTACCATTCATAGAGACTCACTCAAACTTTTGGAGCAAGCCCTTTAAGACTATATATCATTGTTTTTGAAAGAATGTGTGATCGGGCTATTCTATGACTAGCTTTTGATATTCTGTGTAAATATATTGTTATTATTCTATTGGTTTGAAAGTATTCACCTGTCTTTATCAAACCCCAATTTTGTCAAATACTGAAAATATTGCTATTATAAAGAGTTAATAAAAAGGAACCCTGATGGCTCCTTTTGGATGTGTCTGCTTAATTTGTTGTGAATTTCAGAGAAAATATGTGGATCTCTTCTGCTTTTAAAGAGTTATGCATTATAGATAAAACTGTTTCTCTTTGATCAACATCCCTGACCTTAGTTATTTCCCCATTAACTAGCTTATTTTAACTTCTAGATCCTTTTATATGTATATATGATGTGGTTATGGTAATGTCAGCATAACTGATGTACTTCAGAGGCTTGTTATGTGGATTTTATAACCGTTCCTTTCACATTATTTGGTTAGTATTAGTTATCATCTCAATCTTTGTTATTTATGGAAAAACTTTTACCTATTATCCATACCTTACTCAACATCAAAGATATCATAATGAAAAAAATACATTCATGTAAGTGAATATAGGAAAAGTTTGATCAACATTCATTCCTTATTAAACAAGGGATAATTCATTTTAAAGAAAATAAGATTGTAAAGTGTAAGCAGGCAAAATGTCAAAATTTACCAAGGTGAAAATAAAAATAAAGTAACTCCTTCATAAAAATCTGAATAGTGAGGAGTTAAGATGCCTTTGTTTTGCCTCCTTCCCTTTTAACATCTAAAATTTGGTATCCATTTACAAAAGTGCCTATGTGGAAGTAATATCATACACCAAGGGACCTGAGAGGAGTCTTGCCACCTGCACATCAAATAATAGGCACACAGTCCTTGATACAGACTATGGAACCAGCAGGAGTCTCTGAACCAGCCCCCGCTCTTCTTGGTCACAGTCAGGGAGGCTCTCAACTTGGAGAGTGAAGATTTTGGCAGATACACACAGATAGATTATTTATAGAAGTCCAGGTTTCTTGAGGAAAAGTACCAGAACTCTTTGAGCAAAAAAGAAAATAGTTTGGTTGAATTTAAAAGGCTAAGGTGAACTTTGCCAATGCAGCACAGCATGGAGCTGAACTAGCTAGCAATGATTTTTCCTTAGGGGAAAGAGAGAGAGCAGTGAGTGCCCAGCTTCCTAAGCTGTACAGAACACGGAGAAATCTGTTTCTTGAGGCACCTAGGGTATTGAGGCAGTACCTCCATAACGTGGGGAGGAAGTAGATTGGGAGAGACAGTTAAGAATATCAGAGTGAATTAAAGTATTGTGTTTCCTATTGATTGCATTCAAAACTTTTTTCCACTGTAAGCCACTGGGAAAATCTCACCTGAGGATCACCCCCACCTGGCTTATAAGCACCCCCAAATGCCTCAAATGTTAAACCGACACCTCTTTTCCATTCTGTAGCTGGCTTCTTATGTACGTTCCCAAATGCAGCAGTGAGAGCCAGTTCTGGTAGACATGATGTGCATGCAGAATACAGGCCAGAGTCTGTGGGCAAGGGAGAAAACCCAATCGTGAGCTGTAGTTCTATCTTAGGGAAAACAAAATAGATTTCCCACAGCCAGCATGGTGAGTTGCCAGATTGAGAAAAGATGGAAAAGCTTAAGAATTTTGCCATGAGAGAGCAAGAAACAATGAGCAGATGTATTCACATAAGGTCAGAGAAAACCCCAGGCAATTAGTAATGATTGGAGGAGGCAACCGCTACTTCAGATGTGAAAATAGCAATACAAAACTCCAAGGAACATGAAGAATTAAGGAAACATGACACCATAAAAAGATCTCAACAATCCTCCAGTAACTGAACCCGAAGTATGTGATTTGCCAAATATAAAATTCAAAATATCTGTTTTGAGGAAACTCAATGAGCTAAAATTTAATGAATTTAATGAATCAGGACAGACAATTTAATGAATCAGGAAAACAATATGTGAACAAAATGAGAAATTTAACAAAAACATAGAAATCATAAAAAATGAACCAAACTCTGGAGCTGAAGAACTGAATGAATTAAAAATGTAACAGAAAGCACCCACAGCAGATTAGACAATACAGAAGATAGAATCAGAGGCTGAGGATAGGAACTTTGAAATAACCCAATAAAAGCAGGACAAAGTAAAAAAGAATGAAAAAAGAAAGCCTACATTATCTATGGGACACCATAAAATGGACAAATATCAGAATCACTGGAGAGAAGGAGAGAAAAAGTGTGTGTGTGGGGTTATTTTAAAAAATAATAGCTAAGAACTATATAGAAACCCAAGAAGAGACTTGAACATCCATGTTCATGAATCTAATAGATCACCCACTTATCCCAATTCAAAGTGACCTCCTAGATACATTGTAATGAGAATTTCAAAAATTAAAGACAAAATCCTAAACTCAGAGAAAAAATTGTAATCTGGAAAGAACTCCCATTAGATTATTATCAGATTACTCAAAACACAACCTACAGGCCAAGTGATTGGAATGATATATTTGGATTGTTGAAAAAAGTGCCAGTTTAGAATATGCTATTCATTCTCGGCTCTGGGTCAGAAACATGGCGGGGTGAGAGACATCCCCAGATTTCTCCCATTGAAACAACAATAAGCTGAACATCTAAACCCTAGTGGTGGGGAGCCCACCCAAACTGCACACCAGCATGTCTGAGCGTGGGATCTACAAATAAGAGCTACCACAGGTCAGAACCCTGAGAGTCCAGTGGTAGGCTGGGAGAAACAAAGAAACTCTCTCTCACGGCTGGAGCTCCTGCAGGAGGAAGAGGAGGGGAGAAGGTGCGGCCGGATCCCTAAACAACCCTGCCAGGGAGAGGTGTTAGATTCACTCGGCCTGCAGCAGTGCCCAGGCATCGGGGCAGAAAGCAGAGAAGTGGGGATGGCAGAGAAGCAGGGACGGCAAAGAAACAACAACTGATTATTACCAACAGTGTTTGCAAAATGCGAGGCTGAGCCACAGCCTTATTCCCTAACCCAGAGGGCCCCACCACCTGTCCTCCAAGATTGACACTACAGAGCCCCAGGGGAATATGAGCAAATGCTAACAAAACTGTTGCTAATATTGACAGGGACTGAGACTGAGGGTAGCGAGCATAATTTAATATTTATAAGAAGAAAAAGGGTATTTTAAAGACTTTATACAAAACAAGGATCCAAGAGGCATAGACACCACCTACTGGAAATCAAAAGAAAAACACCTCCTTAGTAATGAGCTAAAGAGAGACCTTTATATAACAAATCTTCCTGGAAAAAAGGCAGAATACACTTCCATTAATGCCTAGAGGAGAAATAGTCCATTAAATACCATGAACAACCAAGGTGATAAGGCATCTCAGAAAGAAAGAGAAAAATCTCCAGAAAATAGACTTAAAAGATGTAGAAGTATGTGACATAAATGACGGAGAATTCAGGATGGTACTCCAAAAAACTCAAATGATATCCCAAACAATTCTCATCAACAATTTCAGGAATTGAAAAAACAACTCATCAGCAAAATGAGTTTTTTAGCAAGGAGATTGAAACCCTCACAAAGATGAAGAACACACTGCAAGAGATGAAAAATGAAATAGCAACCTTGGGAAATAGAGTCATCCAAATGGAGGAAAGGATCAATGATATCGAAGACAGAAATTTAGAAATAAATCAGAAGGAAGAAGAGAGAAACAAGAATGAAATTAATGAATGAGAAATACAAGAACTAGCTGATCCTATCTGGAGAGAAAACATAAGAATAATGGGAATTCTCGAAGGGGAGGAAAAGGAGCAGGGACTAGAAAGCATTTTCAGAAAAGTTGTTGAGAATTTCCCAAATCTAAGGAATGAGCTGGAGCTTGGAATTCAAGAAGTCAACAGAACACTCAATGATCTCAACCCATAAAGTCTTTCTCCAAGATGCATTGAATTAAAATTATCAAAAATCAACAAAGAAAGAATTCTCAAGGCAACCAGGGAAAAGAAGACAGTAACCTATAAAGGAAAACATATATTATCGTCAGACTTCTCAGCACAAACCCTACAAGCAAGAAATGAGTGGAATCAAATATTCAAACTATTAAGTGAAAGGAACTAACAACTAAGAATATTGTATTCAGAAAAGCTCTCCTTAGATATGGAGAAATAAAGACCTTTCCAGACAGTCAAAAATTGAGGAAATTCTCCATTACAAGGCCTGCATTCCAGGACATACTGGAAGAGATCAGCTCAGCTGAAACAAAATGACTAAAAAAATACATAACTAGGAGTAAGGCAACTAGCAGGCACATAGAAGAAGAGGAATGCAACCCTTACTAAGAACAGGGCATTATAAGCTTACAAAATAAGAAGAGATTTGCTATAGCAAGATAGTAATGAACATTCTGCATACACAGGGACAAAATGAGACAACAATGACAGAAAAGGGGAAGATTCAGGATCCAGAT